AGGACCCCCCAGCCCCTCCCCAGGACCCCCCAGCCCCTCCCCAGGACCCCACACTCACCCGATGTGGTTTGTCCTCAGGCTGATCTCCAGCTCTCGCAGCACCTTGGTGGACTCCTGCACCCTCCTCCTGAACTTCTGGGGGCAGAGCAAGGCTGAGCCATGCCCCATAGATTCCCAAAACCCCCCAAGGCACCCCTAAACCCCCCAAGCCTCCCCCACACCCCCCCAAGGCTCCCCCAAAGCCCCCAGCCCCTCACCTTCCGTGTGACACCCGGCTCCAGGAAGCTGCGCAGCTTCTGGATGTAGGCATGGGGTGGGCTCTTCACCTGGAACCGCTCCTGGGGGGGGATAGGAGAGTGTTGGTGACATGGGGACAGCAGCACTGTCCCCTCCCCAGGACCCCCATGGGCCACCCAGCCCCACCTGGTCACAGATGAGGTCCCACTTCTTCTCGTTGTCGTACTGGCGCAGCAGCCGAGCTTTGTCCGGGGGCAGGTTCATGGAGCTCTGGGGACACAGGGGGGGTGTCACCCTGAGGGACACGGGGACAGTGCCCCCCAAGGGGCACCGACACCCATGGTACAGCCTGGGTGATCCCAAAAAGCACCCACAGCACAGCCAGGGTCCCCTCTAAGGGCACCCTGACCCATGACATAGCCAGAGGCCCTGGCACCGGGATGCACCAGCAGGCACAGATGTGGCATGGGGACAACAGTGCCACTGGGGCCACGTGCCAACCACCAGCAGCACCAAATCTCCCCATCCCTGACGCATCCTTCCTGTCTGCACCCGCTTCCGTGCCACAACCGCAGCCTCCGCTCCCGACCGTGGCACGAGGCCAGGCACCGGTGCCAGCTCCCCAGGACACCAGACACGGGGACAGGCACCGGTGCCAGCTCCCCAGGACACCAGACATGGGGACAGGCACCGGTGCCAGCTCCCCAGGACACCAGACACGGGGACAGGCACCGGTGCCAGCTCCCCAGGACACCGGACACAAGGCCCAGCACCGGTGGCTGCTCACTGGGACACCGGGCACAAGGCCAGGCTCTGGTGCTGGCCCAGGATCACTGGGAAGACCCCAGGATTCCCAGTGTGGGATGTGGCACAGGACAAATGGGGTGCCACAGTGGGCAGCAGTGATGCCAGGGAGCCTGGGACAACCCTGGTGGGCAATGCCACCCCAGGGAGAGATGCCAGCCATGTGGGCGATGTCACCCTAGTGGGAAATGCCATTGCTCTGGGTGATGTCACCCTGGTGGGAGATGCCATCACACTGGGTGATGTCACCCTGGTGGGAGATGCTAGCCCAGCTCAAGATGCCACGCTGGTGGGAGATGCCACCCTGGTGGGAGATGCCACCCGAGTGACGCAGCTCGGGGTAGCCCCGTTACCAGGAGCCGTCACCACGGCTGCTCCACCCCTCCATGCCCGTCCTCCTCTGCTCATCCCGATCCCACGGGAAACCGGGACAGAGCCTGGGCGAGGCCACGCTCCCCTGGGCAAGGGGTCCCGCAGGTTCCCACGAGACTGACCACGGGCACGGTGCCACCAAAACTGCCCCCAGAGGGGCACCGTGCCCTCCCCAGGGGGCTGCGGATGTTCCCCCTTGGGCAGCGGTAAATTCCCGGGTCTCCCTGGGAATGGAGGCGGAAAGGACGCGCAGAGACCCCGGCTGGGGGCGAGGGGCACCCGCGGGGGGCTTTGAAGCTCAGCCGCCCGTCCCGGCGTTCCCGCCGCTCCGTTTCCTGCCTTTGTGGTGGGAGCGCGGCCGCTCCCGGCCGGGCACTTCCTCCGCCGTCCGCCCCACCGGGAGCCCCCGTGGTTATCCCGGGGTTGAATCCCATCGGGAAACGGCGGTACCGGTGCTGGAGTCCGCCCCGGGGCTGGGCTGGGGGGCTCCGGGGCGGATCCTCGCCTCCGGGGGCCACCGGACCTCCATCACATGATGGAATATTTTCCGCCCCCGGCAGCAGCCGGGACGGCACCGGGCGCTGCCGACGGCCGCGGGGACATTTTGGGGGAGGCAGGTGTCACCACCCTGCAAAGTGACCCTCCCGGTACCGGTGTCGCCCGGCAGGACGTGTCCCCCCCGCCACAGGCCCCGCGGAGAGCGGCGGCAGCATCCGCCCCGCGTGGGATGCGGGACGGGCAGCGCCGCCGGCGGGAGCCGCTCTTTACCGGCGGGACGCGCCCACGCCGGGGCTGCCGGTGCCCCCCGGTGCCCCCGATTTCGTCTTCCAGAGCCCCGTGGGACCACACTCGGCATTTCCTGCCCGCCTGCGGCTTCCGCTGGCGGCGGCTCCCACCGGGATGGCGGGGCCGGTTGCGGGGGGCACCGGTGTCACCCAGCCATGGTGTCCTGGCGGTGTCACCCCCACCCAAAACAAATCCGGCGCCGCGGAGGGGCCACCGGGAGGGATCGTTGGCCACCCAAGCACCGGTGGGACGCCTCCGCGGTGTTGGTGGTCCCGGTGGCACCGGGGGCACTGCCGAGCCACGTCCCGGGGCCGCGGTGGCACCGCCCCGGCTGTGACAGCGCAGCGGGGACCGCGCGGGGCACCCGCGCCCACAGGGAACCACTTCATCCACCGGGAAACCGGGAACCCCCGCACCCAGCGGGGAATCCCAGCCCAAGCCCCGCGCTGCCCCGACCGGACTTTCCCGGCTTGCAAAGTCCCCGGGCCTCGCGGTGGCACCGGGAGTGGCGTCACCCCCGGGGCTGTCCCGGGTGGGGTGTTCCCCGCGGCCCCGTGGCCACTGCCCATCCCCGCGGGCACCGGCGCTCCCCGCCCGCCCCTGGCGGCTCCGGGCGGCGGTGCCGTCCCGGCGGTGCCCGGTGCCCGCCAACTGGTCCGGGAGAGCGCATCGGGAGGAGTCGCGGGAAGGGATGAACCGGGAGAGGCTCAGCGGGAACACCGACGGAGCGAACAGGCGAAGAGCACCGGGGGCACACCGGGAACGGAGGGAGAGCACCGGGAACTGGGGAGCGCGGCGGGGGTCGGCCTCTCACCAGCACCAGGGCGAAGCGCTCCTCCAGCTCGCAGGGCTCCGGCATCGGCATCTTGCCCGGGGCGAACAGTCCGGCTCCCCCCGGGGCCGCCGGTGTTCCCGGGCCCCGGGGCAGCGCCTCCCCGTCCGCGCTCTCCACGTTCCCCATCCCCGGCCCAGGCACCGGGGGGCGGTGGGGGAGGTTCAGCCCGTCGTGTCCGGCGCTGCCACCGCCTCCCGGTCCCGCCCCGCCCGCCCCGCCCGGTCCCGCCCCAGCGCTGCCCGTCCGCGGCGGCGCCACCAGGGGGCGCCCTCCAGGGCGACGGCGCCACCGGAGGGCGCCCGAAGGCCGGCGGCGAGCGGCGCGCTCCGATTGGCCGGGCCGCGCCCACGGTGACCAATCAGCGCCGCGCTCGCGCGCGGGGGCGGGCTCTGCTCGTCCAACGGCGGCGCTCGGGCGCGGCCGGGACCGTGACGGCGGCTCGAGACGAGCCCCGCCCCGATCGGTGACGAGAGCCAATGGAACGAGGCGGGAGGCGGGACTAGGCGGGGGTTCAGCCAATGAGCGGCGGGGGCGTGGCGCAGAGCTCGCGGCCTGGCACGGACGGCGGACGCGGCGCAGGTGCGGGCGGGGGCCGCGGGCGGGGCGGCCCCGGGGGAGCCCCGGGGGTCCCAGAGCGGCTGCGGACCCCGGGAGATCCCCACAACCCCCCCAGAGCTCACCCCGAGCGGCCCGGGGGGTCCCGCCCCCACCAGGCCCCGTGGCGGGGGGGGGGGGGGGGGGCGCGCCCGGAGGAGCGGCGGCGAGCGGGGCGGCGGAGGGGGGGAAAAGGCCGAACAGGGCGGGCGGGGGGGGTGCAGGAAGCAGCGGGTGGGTAAAGGTCGCTCGGAGCCGAGCAGGGGCGGCAGCAGCGAAAGCGAAAGCGGCGCTGGGGGCGGGGAGGGCGGCTCGGGGCCCTGCCCGGTGGCACCGGCTGTCACTGGGGCCGGAGCGGTGTCACCCCCGCGAGGGGGGGCTGTCACACACACCCCTGTCACACGCACCCCGCTGGGACTGTCCCCGCGGCCGCAGCTCCTCCCCTGCCTTGCCCTCTGACCTGGCCCCGTGGCACCGGGCCGGCGGTGGCAGCGCTGCGGTGCCACCCTGTGTCACCGTGCCATGCCACCCTGTGTCACCGTGCCATGCTGAGCTGTGACCTGTGCCCCCCTGGGCCGCGCTGCTCTGGCACCATGGGGCTCCTCTCCTGGAGCTCCGCCGGGGTGGCAGCTTGAAGCGTCCACCCCGCTCCCCCCCCGGGCCCTGTTCTGTCCCCTCCGTCCCTTGGGGACAGCTCTCGTGCCACTGGCTGGGCAGGTCTGGCTCTGGCAGGTGCCAGAGGGGACAGAGCCGGCCGAGCCGGCTGGACCAGGAGGAGGAGGGCGAGGAAGAGGAGGAGGAGGAGGAGGCCCTGCCGGGAGCCTCTCGCTGCCAGAGCCACCCCTGGGGATGTCATTACGGGCACTAATAGTCACCTGGCACAAAGACGTTTCCAGCTGCTGGCAGCGCTGCCACGGCACCTTCAGGAGCTCCCCTGGCTCAGAGCAGCCTCGCTGCAGGTCCCTGAGGCTGCCCTGGCCTTGCAACAGCCCTGCAACACCCCAGGGCCCCCTGGCCTTGCAACAGCCAGCAGAGCTTGCACCAGCTGGACAAGGAAGGCTCCGGCAGCTCTTGGGCTCTCACTCGGCTCCTGGGGGAGCTTTGGGAGCTTTGGGTGGGCTCCAGATCCTTCGTGACCCCGCTTTCCCTCGCAGCTTGCAGCCCTGTGGAGCGGCCCTGGGCCCATCCCAGCCTGGCACCATGAACGTCTTCGACCGCAGCATCAACTTCGATGCCCTCTTCAAGTTCTCCCACATGTGAGTGGCACACGGGCACAGGGCAGGGGGCTCGGGGGGGCTGTGCCAGCTCTCGCTGCCTACCTCACCACCCCCTCCTCACCCACAGCTCGGCCTCCACCCAGGAGCACCTGAAGAGGGTCTATGGCAGCTTTGCCATCTGCATGTTCGTGGCAGCTGCGGGCGCCTACATCAACGTGGTGACCCACCTCTTCCAGGTGAGGCACCTGTGCAGGGCTGCAGGTGGCACCCCCAGCCCTGCAGCAGCCAGGTGAGGCAATGCCCAGCCCTCACCTGTCTCTCTCTCTCCCAGTTTGGGCTCCTGACTGGCCTGGGTGCACTGGGGCTGATGGTTTGGCTCACAGCCACCCCTCACAGCCGTGAGACCGAGCAGAAGAGGCTGGGGATGCTGGTTGGCTTCGCCTTCCTGACGGGTAGGTGGGCACTGGGACTGCCCCCACGTCCCACAGGACCCAAATCCTGCAGAGGGGCCGGATGAAGCCCCTCAAAATGGCTCTGGTGACACCCAATTCTGTCCTTCCAGGCATCAATCTGGGACCTCTCCTGCAAATGTGCATCTCCATCAACCCCAGGTAGGAGACCGCCCCCCACAGACCCCATCCCCCACCTCCAGCTGCCACACAGATCCTGTTTCCCCCTGCCAATGACCCCCAGCTGTCCCCAAAAGCCTCTGACCCCTTTCTCTTCACCCCCAGCATCATCCCCACTGCCTTCCTGGGCACTGCTACCATCTTTGCCTGCTTCTCCCTGAGCGCCCTGTACGCCCGGCGCCGCAGCTACCTGTACCTAGGAGGTGAGAGGGGCTTTGGGGGGGACTCTGGGGGGGGCTGGGGACCCCCTGTTTGTGGGGGGGACTCTCCCCAGGCCTGACCCTGACTCCCTCACCCTGCAGGTTTCCTGCTGTCCGGCCTCACCCTGATGCTTCTCTCCACTCTGATTAACGCCTTTGTGAGATCCACCTGGCTCTTCACGGTGAGTCCACCAGCTGAGGACGGACAGGCAGACAGGTGACACCAGCAGGGAGGGGACTGTCCCCACCTGATGCCTCTGTACCCCCACAGGCCAACCTGTACGTGGCTCTGATGATCATGTGTGGCTTCGTGCTCTTCGACACGCAGCTCATCATCGAGAAGGCGGAGAGCGGGGACAAGGATTACATCTGGTGGGTGCTGGGGACACGGGGGGTGACACAGGGGGGCAGGGTGACCCTCACTGAGCGTCCATCCATCCCTCCCTCCCTCTCTTTCCCAGGCACTGCGTCGATCTCTTCCTCGACTTCGTCAACATCTTCCGGGAGCTCCTGATGATCCTGGGCATGTCCGAGGTGGGTGAGGGGCCCTGGGCAGGGCAGGGGGACAGAGGGACAGAGCCCATGGTGACCGTGGCCACTCTCCTCTTGCAGAACAAGAAGAAGGAGAAGAAGTGAAGCGGCTCTGGGCCGAGGCGGAGCCACCCCTGTGTCCCCATGTCCCCTCCTGTCCCTCTCTGTCATTAAAGGGGCTGCGCTTTGCTGCCGAGGAAGCAGCCAGAAGCTTTCGCACCTCGTGGGTTTTTCTCTCGTTCAGCTTTTTTTTTTTTTTTTTTTTTTTTTTTTTTTAAAAAACCCGCTATTTTTTTTTTTTTTTTTTTTTTGATTAAAAACCAGCCAATTTGTGGAGTTTGGCTCCCCTTGGTTTTCCCCAAGAGTGGTCACCCATGTGTCCTCTTTCCTCGGAGGTTTGTCCCCAGCCCCACCCGGGGTGTCACCCTTCCCCGGGAGGCCGTGAGGCCCCAAAACCAGCCCTCGGGGGGGGTTGTTGGTGGGACCCCCCCTCAGCCAAACTCATCGGTGGAGCCTCCCCTTCAGCACCAGTGCCAAGAAATGAACGTGTGCTGGGAGGGGGCCGTGGGGACGTGGCATTCCCAGCGCTCCCAGTCCCGCCATCTCCGCTCTTTGTACACCGGGATGATTCAATAAATCGCTCAGACTCCAAACTCTTGTCCCCCCTCTTTCCATCCCCCCGTGTCCGTCCGTCCATCTGACCACCCCCCATCCTCACATCCCTCCCCGGGGCACGGCGACACAAGGGCTGCACCACCACGTGTATAAATAACCCGGGCTTGGGGGGGCGGCTTTATTGAGTTAAAAACCCATCGGCGGGGGCTGTACAGGGCCGTAGCACCATCGGAGAGAGCCGGGAGAGGGAGCGACAGACACCGGACACTCCCAGCCCGGGCAGCACCCTCAGAGCAGGAGCGGGGAGCAGCGGGGACGGGGTGGAAGACGTGGGAGCGGGGCCGGGGCGGCTCAGCCCTGGCTGCCGCAGGAGGAGAGGCTGTCGTACAGCGAGTCGCTGAGGGACTCGGAGTGTTCCAGCCCGGCGGGACCGTGTCCCCCGTCCCGGGACCGTGCCTCCGTGCTGCCCTCGTCCCCCACGTCTGAAGCACTGGGGGTCCGGCTGCTGCTAGTGCTCAGGGCGGGGGGCAGCGGCGGGGGAGCCTCCGGGGATGCCCCCCGGTGCCCCGCCGGGCTGCACACGGGGGCCTGGGGAGGGACAGAATGGGCAGGGGGACAGCCACATCTATCACTTCCCCGTGGTCGGGAACGTCTGTGCCCCCCAAGGCCACTTTAAATCCCCCCGACACCGCCGGGCACATGTGGGAAATGATCACAGAATTCTGGGGAGCGTTCCCCCCACATCCTCTCCCCCTGGCTTCATCCCCACAGCATGGGCAGGAGAGTCTGGGGTCCCTCTCTCAGGGTTTTGGAGTCCTGCTCCAGAGTTTCAGTGTCCTTACTCTGGAGTTTTGGGGACCCCACCCCAAGGTTCTGGGGTACTTCAGGATTTCGGGGAGTGTCCTTACCTGCACAGGCCGATGCAGCCCCTCCAGCCCCCCGGGGGGGCACACGAAGGGGTCAGCAGCACCGCAGGCTTTGGCGTTGGGGAAGGTCCAGTTCTTGCTCTGCTGGACACGCCGCGGCTTCCTGGCGTCATCCCCGGTGTCTGCGGGAACAACGGGGGCAGCGCTGACCTGCAGGACCCCCACACCCCCCATCTCCCCACCGATGCACCCTCACGAGGGTGGGCGCACACCCGGCTCGGGGGGGACACCCACCTTGGGGTGCGGCGCGGTGCCCGTGCGAGCTGGGGGGGGCCGGGAGGCGGCAGCCCGGAGCGCTCCGGTGTTTTCCCGGTACCAGCAGCTCCTCGGCGCTGGGCACCTCCCGCTCCAGCGTCCGGGCCTTGCGCGGCACTTTGGTGACGGCGGCCGGCACGGCCCCGGGCAGCGGCTCGGGGCGGCCCCGCGGTTTGGGGGTGCTCTTGGCGGGGACCCCCCCATAGTCGGGGGGCGGGAAGGTCCCGATCCCACTGTCCAGTGTCCGCGTCAGGGACCCGCAGG